AGCCTGGCACATCGTATATCACTGACATTGATTTAAAAATAAAAACAAGATATAACGCATGCAGATATTAAACTGTACCTCAACATGGACTTGAATTAAAAAAAAAAAAAAGTAGTCCCATGTCATAAGGCTCTTTTGAAATCTATAATATAAATTTATCATAGAGACCAGAACAATGAACATGAGATAGTCATTAACCTGATTCCTCTGCCAAATCCCCGTTCACTTAGGCTCAATTTCCCAATTTCCAAAAGGATGATAATAATGGTTACTCTGTTGATAGGGTTTCTATGAGTCAGAATCAACTCGACGGCAATGGGTTTAGTTTTGTTGTTGTTGTTGTCGACAGACAACATTTAAGTTCATCAATTTGAGGTAATAATTAATCTACAGTAAACTTGAAAGCACTAGGCAATTTAAAATATATAGTAAGAATACAAATCAAAACCACAATGAGTGAGATACCATTTCACACCTGCTAGGATGGCTATTATCAGAAGAAAAGGAAAATAATAAGTGTTGACAAAGATGTGGAGAAATGGGAACTCTAATCCATTGCTGGTGGGAATGTAAAATGGGACAGCTACTGTGGAAAATAGTTGGGCAGTTTTTCGAAAAGTTAAACATAAATTACCATATGGCCTAGAAATTCTACTCTTGGGTATATACACAAAAGAGTTGAAAGCAGGGACTCAAACAGATAGTTGTACACCAATGTTCATTGCAGCATTATTCATAATAGCCAAGAGGTGGAAACAATCCAATGTTCATCAACAGACGAATGGATAAACCACATGTGGTATATACATACAATGAAATACTATTCAGCCATCAAGAGAAATGAAGTTCTGATACATGCTACCAGATGGATGAACCTTGAAAACATTATACTAAGTGAAATAAGTTAGACACAAAAGGGGAAATATTGTCTGATCCTACTTTTATGAATAGGCAAATACATTGAGACAGAAGTTATTAGAGGTCACTAGGGGCTGCCCTGGTGGTACAGTGGTTAAGCACTCAGCTGCTAAACGAAAGGTTGGTGGTTCGAACTCACCAGCCGCTCCTCAGGAGAAAGATGTGGCAGTCTGCTTCATTCCCAACTTTGGAAACCCTATGGGGCAGTTCTACTCTGTCCTATATGGCTGCTATGAGTCAGAATCAACTCGTTGTCAGCAGTGGGAATGGGTTTTAGGGACTGGTGTGAGGGTAAAATGGGAACTTATTGCTTAAAGGGTACCGAATTTCTGTTTACCAAAAAAAAAAAAAAAAAACCCGTTGCCCTCAAGTCAATTTCAACTCAACATCTGGAAATGGATAGCCATGATGGTTACACAACATGGTTAATGTAACGTCATTGAATTGTATAGTTACAAATGGTCACAATGACAAAATTTTTTGTTATGTGTATTTTACCACAGTAAAAAATTTTTTTAAATACATAGTACATTTTCAAATAAAGTCAACAAAATAGCTGTAATATAGTGAGTGTTTATATGTGACAGATACTCTTGTGTGTGTGTTTTACACAGTCTCATTTAGACTACCAGCATCATTTATGTAATGATCACCATTTTACAAGTGAGAAAATTGGGGCTGAGATGCTAAGTAGCTTTGTCATGGTCACACAGCTTGTAATCAGTAGATCCGGGATGCAAACACAGGTCCATTAGACTCTATAACTAATATTCCGTGCATATATGTATCCATAATGAGAAATGTTCCAGTTGCTTTTACATTTCTTAATTCCATTCTAAGATGTTGCACTTTATCGTTCTGAAAATGTTACACTGAATGCATACCACCCAGCATTAGTAACAACACATATTTGAAAAGTAATTTATTTCTTCAATTTAATATCTCATTTAATGCTAGGAAGGAGATATTTTAATGCCCATTTCGTAGATAATGAAAATTGAAACACAATAATGTTAAGTGCTTTGCATTAAAGCTAATAAGTGACTAAGCCAGGATTCAAAAACGGAAGTTATCTTACTCCATGTCCAATACTGTTTTCAATACACAGGTAGAAGTTGGCTTGGGATACTGGGATTGCTTAAACAAAAAAAAAAGTTGAGAAAAAAGTGAAATTTCCAGGAAGGAGTTAGGATAATTCCAAAAGGGCACTCACTGCTTTTCTACTCTCCCCAGCCTCCCTCTTCACCAGAGAAACCAGCGTTAGGGTTATTGTTTACCCTCTCATTCCTTCAAAAATGCTAATAAAATCACATACAAGTTTATATTTTTTTTTTCATTTTCAGGTTATTTCAATACCATCATGCAATAGATATTATTTGTTATTGGATTTTTTCACCTTTCATCATTCTAGGTCAATCATTTGGATCTAACAAATTTTTTTTTCAGATATTGAAAGATTCACATATGGACATGATTAAAAGAAGGACAGAAATTCAATTCAACAAGTATTTATGGAACAATATGTGCCAGACTGTTCTGAGTGTGCTGGGGCTACAGCAGTGAACAAAATAGATCAAAAATGCCTGTACTCTGGCTTCTACAGTGTGCCAGTCACCCCATATTTATCATCAACAGCTTTAGCGTATGTGTTTGCTAATGCAACATAAAATAACTTATTATCTCAGTGGTCTTACACAATGGTCTATAGTGTGGAAGTACAAGAATTTATTCTACCACTTCTTTATTGGTTGACATTCCATTTTTGTTTTGTTTTTTATTTTTACAAACAATGCTGTAATAAACACCCATATCATATATATCCTGTGTAATGATGCCTTTATTTCTTCTGAAGAATAGACTTTTAAAAGTAGGATTGTTGGTTCAAAGATATATATATATAGATATATTCTAGAGAGAGAGAGAGAAACTGTGTGTGTCCATTTAATTCTATACAAATTCATTAGCTTATTTCCAACAAAAGGTTGTAGTAATTATACTCGTCCCAGTCGCACAATGATTAAGTGCTCAGCTGCTAACCAAAAAGTCGGAGGTTCAAACCCACCAGCTACTTCGCAGGAGAAAAGACCTAGCAATCTGCTCCTATAAATATTACAGCCTAGGAAACCCTATGAGGTAATTCTACTCCATCATATGAGGTCACTATGAGTCAGAATCTACTCAACGGCACACAACAACAAGCTTATAATAGTGCTAATTTCCCTACATTTTTACCAGCACTGAATTTTAAGTCTTTTAAGCTGTCAATGGGTCAAAAATAGTTTGCAAATTATTGATTTAATTTGCATTTCCCTGGCTCTTCTACCAGAAATGATCCAGCATCCCTCCATCTGTTTATTCACCATTTGCATTTCCACTTAATAACAGTTGCTAACATTAGAGTCACGCACTGGAATGTGCTGTGCATTATCTCATTTGATCCTCACTACAACCCTATCAGAAGGGTAGCACCTGCTTTCCCCCACCCCATTTGACAGATGAGAAAATAGTTTCCAAGAGGTTATGAAACTTGCCCAAGCTCACACAATTGGCAAAATGGTAGAGCTGCAATTTAACCAGTCTGATTACAGTGCCTCTGGGTCTAACCAGTACACAAACTGCCTCTGCTGCCAGGACCATTTTCAATCCCTTCTCTCCAATCTTACTCCCTTCCTTCCAGTGAAGTCTGAGCGACTTGGTCAGCAAATCTGCCCAATGTCAGAGAAGGGAATGAACATACAAAATTCCTGCAATAGAATTTAATACTATACAAAAAGCGGTATAGGGAATACTGCAAGGGACCCTGAAATGAGAGTGAAGGCAGTTTCCTCTATGTAAAATAATTTAGGAACCAAATCACTTTGGAAATGAGGTCATATCTAAAGAAAAGGAGTACTACCCTGGGTGAACAAACATTAGCAAACAGACCCGTCTCGGCCCATTCACCTTCACTAACTCGCTTCTCCTTTCCCAGGTGCTCTCACCGGCCCTGGTACTGTCCACCTTGGTGGTGCTGAAGTAGGTGTTCACAATCTGCTATCTGAACCCACCTTCAATACGGCCCTAACACACTTGGACTGCCCTTGCTTCCAAAATCATGAGCTGTCATCCAACTTCTGCCACGAAGGCTCTCTAATCACCTTTAATGTGCAAATTTATATTCTGCGATATCGCAGTGTTTTGACTTATCCCTCCGCTTGACCATTGTCACCAGCTCTGACTTAGACACATGCCGGTTGCCTTTTACAGGGTTAAGAGCCCATCCTTCATGATCTGTAAAAATATATGTGCTCCATTACACCATGTCATTCTTGAGACCATGATATTCATCATGAAAATACACACCCATACACCCACAAGGAGGTGTAACTGCTTGAATATAGTTTTTTGCTCACATCCCTAACCCAACGTGGTTTGCAGTCCACATTAGATGCAATGGCGCTTTCCCTTGCCCATTTTCCCTAAGCTTTGTAAACACTTGTATTTCCTGAAATTAAATCACTGACTAGCGGTTTCCTGCCCCGCTTCCCGTTTCCTATTCCCCTTCCAATCTCCTCCTTCTGCCGGGCTGGGGTCCGGGCAAAGAATGCTGTCCACATCACTTAGGTGTCCGAGGTGGCATCCAGATTCCGGAGGTCTCGCTCCTTGGTGTAGTAGTCACTTAACCCCAGCGCCCTCGCCCTCCCAGGACCTCTCCTCCGCCCGCTCCGCGCCGTTCTAGGAGGAGCCTAAAAGCTCCCTTTCCCAGTTGATGGGGATTGTGGTGCGTAAACAGGATTAACTCTCTCCGCCCCAGCTGCCGCTGATCTACCCGCGGCCCGCGGCCGGAGCGCGTCCGCAGGTGCGGAGGTTGCGGCGCCGAGAGGGGAGGATGGGGAGGACCGGGGCCTGGGAGCAGCCTCTGGGGTCCGCTTCCTCCTGGAGCGGGGCGGGGGACCACCGCCTCCCGACCAGCTTCCCTAAAGCCCGGGCGGACGGCGGCGGCTGCGCGGGCTCCTAGCCGTAGCCTCCCCTCCACCACCCTCCTCTCCCGCCCGGCGCTTCCTCCCCGCCCACCGCGCTCCAGCTGCCCGGGCGCCGCCAGCGCCGTCCCCCACCTCCCGGAGCCGCCGCGCCAGCCCCTCGCCCAGCCATGGGGGACCTGCCGGGCCTGGTGCGCCTCTCCATCGCGCTGCGCATCCAGCCCAACGACGGGCCGGTCTTCTTCAAGGTGGACGGGCAGCGCTTCGGCCAGAACCGCACCATCAAGCTGCTCACCGGCTCCTCCTACAAGGTGGAGGTGAAGATTAAGCCCACCACGCTGCAAGTCCAGTGAGTGCGGGCCGGGGAGGGGGCCGGAGGCCGGCTGCGCCCCGTCGCTGCAGGGCCCGCCCCGGGTGCGGACGGAGGCCCCTGGGACGTCCCGAGCCTCTCCCGGCTCCTCTGGCCTCGCGCGGTGACCAGAGGGCCTCGGGGAGGAGGTCAGCTCCCTGTTTCCCTTCCTCTCCTCCTGTGCCTTACAGCTATTCTCACTTCTCACCACCGTCGCCGTGATCGCACTGGGCCCCTTGGAGACAATTACTGGAGGCCAGGTTTTCTTTTCTTTAAATTCTCACCCCTTCTATCTAGCTATTCCTGGAAGGGCTATTTCCGCGGTCTGCGCAGAACCCTAAGCGGCCGAGGTGGGGCGGATGCGAGAAACTCGCTGCGGGGTTCGTTTACCGCAATCCCAGCCTTCCGGTCGCTGTGCTGCTGTCCCGCCGCGGCGCAGCGGCGAGGCTGGAGGAATGAGAAGGGCTGAGGAATGAAGTGTAAAGGCAGGGGGGCGGGGGGTGTCTTGTTGGGGCTCCCTGAGAGATGATCCCCACTTCTCCATCCCCCTTTATGTGGCGGGGGAAGCAGGCTCAACACGTCAGAGAGCTGCGTCTGCTCAGGCCTAGTTCCACGGCTTTCCCTGGCGTGTGTTTTTCTTCCTCTCCTGCGTTTGTTCAGCCTGGTTGTGGCACCTTGGGTTAGCAGCATTCTGACATCAAGGTTTTTTGGTTTATTCGTCGTAGGGTTATCGCTTCCCTGCTATCACAGGACACTGCACCCAATAGACCTCTAGGGGAAAAGCCAGTGTGGGACTCTGGGGAATAATCCATGGGTGGGCTCCTTTACCTCTGGGATCTCCACCTGAGCATGGGTGTGAAGTGTAGTCTGGAAGGAGGAAATAAACCAACATTTATTTTATCTGTCATAATGCTGGACATGGGAATTTTGAATTTGTCAGACACCTTTTACAGTTGAAATGTCCACTTGTATTCAGTAAACTTGAACTAGCCTTCTCGGTGCCTGGCGCTAATGGAAGGACCTAGAACCAAGCCTTGTTTCTGTTGCTTCTGGTCCATCTATTTATCAGCATCCTCACAGCTCCATGCACCCACTGGCCTCACATTTCCCAGTGTTCTGTGCTTTTGAATATGAGCCAAGCTTTTCCTTTCTTTTCTTCCCTAGCAACCTCTTCCACCATGTCATTTCTTTGGTATTCCATTTTCTTCAAAGTAGTTCTGTTTTTTAACTAATTTAAGGAACCAATTTGTGTTAATGACAAAACTAGTTTTTCTAGTTACACTTTAATTTTATCAAGGGTTTTTCAATGCCCAAACCCAGTGGTTCTTAAACTTGTAAGTGCATCAGGATCACCTGGACCCGTCGCCATCGATTCCAACTCACAGCGACCCTATAGGACAGAGTAGAACTGCCCGCATAGAGTTTCCAAGGAGTGCCTGGTGGATTTGAACTGCCAAACTTTTGGTTAGCAGTTGTGGCTCTTAACTACTATGCCACCAGGGTTTCCAAATCACCTGGAGGGCTTGTTAAAACCCGGATTGCTTGGCCCCTACCCCAGTTTCTAGTTTAGTACCTCTAGAATATTTTTTAAAAAGTTCTGGTGGCATAGTGGTTAGGAGCTCAGCAGCTAACCAAAAGGTCGATAGTTCGAATCTACCAGCTGCTCCTTGGAAACCCTATGGGGTTGTTCTCCTCTGTCCTATAGGGTCACTATAAGTTGGAATCGACTGGTCAGCAATGGGTTCTTACGGGAGGGTTAAAAAAAAAAAGTTGCAGTCGATTGCAACTCATAGCGACCCTGTAAGACAGAGTAGAACTGCCCCATAGAGTTTCCAAGGAGTGGCTGACGGATTGGAACTGCTGACCTTTTGGTTAGCAGCCAGGCTCCTAACCACTACACCACCAAGGCTCCTAAAAATCTGCACTCCTAATAGGTTCACAGGTAATGCTGATGCTGCTGGTCCAGGGGTTTGATCTTGAAAACAGTTGACCTAACAGAAAGCAATGATGCCCATGATAATTTCTGATGGTATGACAGGCTTGAGGAAGAGAACCCCAAATTGCAAAACCCCTCTAAAGGATATTTAGAGAATATCTAGTCCAGTGGTTGTCAACCCTACCTGCACATTAGTATCACCTGGAGAACCTTAAAATAAATGTATCAATGCCCAAACCACTGCCCAGACCATTTGAATTCCAGTCTCTGGCATTTCAGATAGGACTGGCATTAGTAGGTTTTTAATAGCCTCACAGATTATTTTAATGAGTAACCAGAGAGGAGATCCACTCATAAAGCACAACTTGGCCTTTACAGGTATTTTAGATGAGAATACTGAGGTCAGTTCAGAAAGATTAAGTAGTTGGTCTAAGGTCTCATAGCTAAGTAGTAGGAGGTTTAGTTGGAGAACTCAAACCTCCTGACCTTTCAGAGTTATTTCTACCATAGCACAGTACCTCCCTTAGTCAAGCCCTGTAGGATCTCTGCCTGGAGTTTTGGTCCATACCAGGATAGGGTGCTGAAGCTAAGTCTTACCATATATGGTCAACTCCTATCCATTGCAGGAGCATTTCCATTGGTGGCACACTCGTCCCACTGGAGCTGAAGTCTAAAGAACCGGATGGAGACAGAATTGTCTATACGGGCGTATATGACACAGAAGGTGTGGCCCCAACCAAGAGTGGAGAACGACAGCCCATCCAGATCACCATGCCGGTAAGGCCTTTTTAGAGGTGTGGGTACCCAGTGCCAGGGCAAATGAAAACCAACAAAAAGAAAACGATCAGTGTGGTTGTTGTTAGGTGCCGTTGAGTTGGTTCCAACTTGTAGTGACCCTATGTACAAGAGAATGAAACACTGCCTGGTCCTGCGCCATCCTCACGATTGTTGTTATGCTTGAGCCCATTGTTGTAGCCACTGTGTCAATCCATCTTGTTAGGGGTCTTCCTCTTTTTTGCTGGCCCTCTACTTTACCAAGCATGATGTCCTTCTCCAGGGACTGGTCCCTCCTGATAGCATGATCCAAAGTATGTGAGATCAAAGTACTTCCAAGGAGCACTCTGGCTGTATTTCTTCCAAGACAGACTTGTTCTTTCTTCTGGAAGTCCATGGTATATTCAGTATTCTTCGCCAACACCATAATTCAAAGGTGTCAATTCTTCTTCTGTCTTCCTTATTCATTATCCAGCTTTCACATGCATCTGAGGTGATTGAAAATACCATGGCTTGGGTTAGGAGCACCTTAGTCCTCAAAGTGACATCTTTGCTTTTGAACCCTTTAAAGAGGTCTTTTGCAGCAGATTTGCCAAATGCAGTACATTGTTTGATTTCCTGACTGCTGCTTAAATGGGTGCTGATTGTGAATCCAAGTAAAACGAAATCCTTGACAACTTCTTCAGTCTTTTCTCCATTTATCATGATATTGCTCATTGGTCCAGTTGTGAGGAATTGTGTTTCCTTTATGTTGAGGTGTAATCCTGAAGGCTGTAGTCTTTGTTCTTCATCAGTAAGTGCTTCAAGTCCTCTTTGCTTTCAGCAAGCAAGGTTGTGTCATCTGCATATTGCAGGTTGTTAATGAGCATTTCACCAATTCTGATGCCACATTCTTTTTCATATAGTCCAAGAAAAAGAAAACAATCAGTATCTCCCTTTAAGAAAAGGTATAACCAGTTGCCGTTGAGTCAGTTCTGACTCAGTGGCGACCTCATGTGTGTCAGAGTAGAGCTGTGCTCCGTAGGGTTTGCAATGGCTGATTTTTTGGAAGTAGATTGCCAGGCCTTTCTTCCAAGGCACCTCAGGGTGAACTCGAACCTCTAACCTTTTGGTTAGCAGCTGAGCACATTATCCATTTGCACCACCCAGGGACTCTAAGAAAAAAGGTATCTTAGGAACTAATTACTATGAAAATAATTTCCTTTATGGATCTGCTGGTGAAGGAGCTATCTGATTAATGCTCCTTTCCTTGACTGGCTGACCCTATAGATGCTGAAAGACAGTACATAAACAGAAGCAGATAATTCTGGGAAGGATAATATATTCTATATCAGGACTGGTTTCTATCAGTGGTCCAACTGACCCTGAAAAGCCTTTGGCTTTCAGTGGCCCACAACCTTTTGGCTATGGGAAAGTTGATTTGAATGACCTCTTGTCATTTAAATCTACACTAAATGGATGCACTCTTAATATCTAGTCCTACCAGAGATAATATGTCAAAAACAACAATATTTATAGTCAGGTAATATTGGCCCTGAAGTAAAAACCAAATTGGTAGAAAGGATAGAGTCGAGAAATAGATTTACCTACTTGTGCAAACATGGTAGGTGATTGAGTAAGCTTTCTAAAACAAGGGGAAGGAAGGTTCATCTACACTGCTGCTGTGAAAACAGGGTAGCATTTTCCCTCTGAAAAGGCCACCTGCCCTCTAGCTTTATAGGAAAGATCACAGAGGTTCTCAAATATCAGTATGCATAAGAACCTCCATAGGAGTTTACTTAAAGTGCCGGTCCTAGGTCTCAGTCACTTCCAGTGATTTCGGTTCAGTGAGCTCGCTGGAGTGGGGTCTAAGAAAATGAACCTTTTAAGAAGCATACCAGATGATCGTGATTGGGATAGTCCGTGGAATATACTTTGAGAAATACTGATTGAAGAGCTATATAATCCATCCAATCCTTTAAAACCTTAACGTTTTCACAATGCCCAGTATACTTAAAGCAATCACAGCAGTAACACAGAGAAACAATCTAGTCATTCATGCATCCTACATTTGAGCTATTTTGGAAAGAGTTCTATTTCCCTTCAAAGAATGTTCATTAGAAAAAAAATATAGTAATGGGGAAAATATATAATCCCAACAAGAGATGACTATTGTTAACATTCTAAGAAAATTGTTTCTACATGTATTCTATACATATGCTTTTCTCTACTTGCATATATGGAACATGATTTTTAAAGTGGGTCTGGGTACTTTATTCTATGAATGTATTAAATTATTCTCAGTTCCCTGTTGCTGGTCATTTCCATTTCTCAAGCTTGTAAAGAAGGCAATAACAATCACTTCTGCACAGTTGTCTAATATTTTCTCAGGATAGATTTTTAGAAAAAAATTGCATGTTAAGGCATTTTTTAAGTTCTGCCCAACTGACCTCCAGAAAGACTAGGGAATTTACACTTCTGTAATCTGTATTTGGAGCCCTGGTGGTGCAATGGTTAAGAGCTCAGCCTGCTAACCAAAAGATCGGCAGTTTGAATCCACCAGCCCCTCCTTGGAAACCCTACGGAGCAGTTCTACTCTGTCCTGTAGGGTCACTATGAGTTGGAATCGACTTGATGGCAACGAGTTTGGTTTTTGGTTATAATCTGTATTTGAGTGTTCATCTCTCTCTGCAACTAGGTATAATTAATCACTTTTAAATATTTATGTGATAGGCAGGATATTTAATTTTTTTTTATTACTCTTAATTTGAAATTTGACGTGTTCATTTACCATTTGTATTTCTTTTGTGGATTGAATATTCTTGGCTTTTACCCATTTTTCTACTGAAGTGTGTCTTTGTTGATTTAAAGAAATCTTTAAAATTAAAAACAGTAATCTCTTTTATCTCATTTTGAAAGTGTTCATCATTTATGACTTGAGACTTAACTTTGTTTACAATATGTCTAAATTTTTATGTAGTACAACATACAGTCTTTTTCTTAATGGTTTTTGCAAGTAGGATCCAGCTTGGAAAGTCTTCCCTAACTCCCCTAGACTAAGTACATATACATATACACACAGGCACTGTTGTGTATTTTTATCTGAGCTCTCATGGTCTCATTTGTTAATATTTAAATCTCTAATTCACCTGAAATTTATTTCAGTTCTTGGTTCCATATTGAAATCTATTTGTCCATAATGCCCAATACAAGTAATTAAGTAATCTATACTTCTCTGGTAGTCTGAGATTTTCATGGTAATTTCTTATGGCAAAATTTTAAGTCTCCTACACTTTCTAATCTATTCCATTGACCTGTTTATTCTAATTCTGTCTTAGTTACATAGTGCTGCCATAACAAAAAGTACCACAAGTGAGTGGATTTAAAGAACAAAAACTTATGTTCTCACAGTTCTGGAGGCTAAAAATCCAAATCAGGGTCTCAACCATGTCAATTCCTTCTGTGAGCCTCTCTCCTAGTTGCTGGTGTCTGCCAGCCATCCTTGGTTCCTTGGCTTGTAGACAATTCTCACATGGTGTCTGTCTTCCCCGTGGCTTTGTGTTTGTTCTTGTCTTTTTATAACTCGGAAGTGATTAGGTTTTAGGATCCTCCCTATGCTAGTATGATGTCATTAACATAACAAAATAAAAACAACAGGATCACATCAACAGATACGAGGGCCAGAAATTCAACGCGTGTTTTCGAGGCACACAATTCAAAGCGTAGCATATGCCAGTACCACATTGTTTTAAAATATGTTTTATATGTTCTCATGTATTTAATAATTGTTCACCTTACTGAATTTGCTTATTTAGAATTTTCAGTTGCTTATCTTGGGTCTTGCAGATAGACTTTCATAATCTGCATATAGCTTTGTGTCATTTTCTGAGTTTTTTCTGGTCCTGTTGTACTGGTGGAGCCCTGGTGGAACAGTGGTTAAGAGCTATGGCTACTAACCAAAAGATTGGCAGTTCGAATCCACCAGCCACCTCTTGGAAATCCTATGGGGCAGTTCTACTCTGTCCTCTAGGGTTGCTCAGTTGGAATCGACTCCATGGAAACAGGTTTTGGCTAATGCTTCTAGGATAATGTTGACTACTACTGGTGGCAAGAGGTATCACTGTCTCCAGGGTTTCTTTATTAAGTACAGTGTTAGTTTCAGATAATTTATCATGTTAAAACAGATCTTCTTTTTCTAGTTCACTAAGAGGTTTTCTTTTAATTGTGATGTGTGTTGAATTTTGCCCAATTTCTTTTCCTTTTTCTCTCCTTTGATGTATTAATATGCTGAATTATATAATATACTTCCAAATATTAAACTAGTCTTTGCTTCTTAAAATAAACTCTACTTAAACATCCTGTATTGTTTTCAGTGCTAAATTCAATATGCTATTCTTTAGAATTTTTAGATTTTTTAAATTTTATTTTTGCTTTCTTTGTCAGCAAATATTTTAGGGTTTCCAGTGTATCGGGCACTGAGGAAAAAGTGGTGACAAAAAAAAAAAGATATCCCTGACTTCATAAAGCTTCTACTCTAGAGGGAGAAAACATACTTTAAGTCTGATTATAAATAATAAAGTAAGTAAGTACGATTATATAACAGTAGTGAAAAAGGAGTGGTGCCCTTGGAATATATACCAGTGGTCTTTTCCTAATCCAGGATTTTGGGTATGGCAACCCTGAAAAAGAACTGAAGTGTGAATAAGAGTTGGGGGAAGGAGGAGATGCAAAGGTCAAGAGCTGGGAGAGAACATAATGTGCTCTAGTGGCCGAGAGAAGCCCAGCATGCCTAGAGCAGACAGTGGCTCAAGATCAAGTTGGAAACCTAAGTAGGGGTTAGATGTTCTAGAACTTTCTTGCTTATTACACATTTTGGATTTATTCTAATACCTATAGGAATTCATTGAAAGTTTTTAACATCAACTTTGAGATTCAATTTACATATAATACAATGCACCTATTTTAAATTTTAAATGCACAGTTGCATAGGTCTTGACAGATGGAGACTACTGTGAAACCACCAC